TGAAGTGATGACTGTGGAATAGGAAGGTGGAGTAGAGTAATCGGTAGTGAGTGTAGTGGCAGGGAGGCTATCAGGATAGAAGGGCAACTGGATGAGGGATGTCCATTGGATGGGGGGAACAGAAAGACTGGCCGGCAGTGTGGGGTATGGATTAGTAATAGTGTTTTCATTCATAGAGGTGGCATGACTCATGGGTGGTGTGGTAGCAGGTGTGAATGGGTTGCTAGTGTCAGACTCGATATTCAATGTCTCTCTACTCGATAAATCGGTATTGCTTGTATTGGCTTGGTGTCTCATGGGATTGAATCCAGCAGAAGGAGTGGGTGAGTTGGGTGATCGAGGCGATTTGAGCTGATGTTCATATTGATCACGTATCCATGTTGTTTGGTAAATTCTTTCCAGAGTGGGATCCAATGGAACTGTCTGCACTTTACTATTACGCAATTCAATGATAGTGGCCTCATTGGAGAACACAGCTATGATATGGCGCAAAGTACTTCTATCATCAGCAAATGTGACAGACTTTGCTTCGGTTGGAATCCAAAACACTTTCAACCTGCAGAATGGACGAAGAGGATGATCTCGTTTCCTCTGCCAGAGTACTAGTTTATCACGATGAATAACAGCGGCAAACACATATTGACTGGTCTGGTATATTTGAACATCCATGGCATCTTTGGAATCGGGTAGTTTGTAGTAGAAGTCCTCGAGAATGATATCATTGCAGACATAGAACAGGTTACTCTTGAAGGGCAGAGTTAGATTATCCACAGTCGACATTGATTTCGATGGCCTCTTTTCTTCCTTCTTCTTCACTAATCTCTCTTTCAGATTAAGAGCATACTCAGTCGATGGGTGTTTCGTCTCAATCATAGTGTCATCCAACTGTTCATCCTCAGGGGCTTTCCCAGCCTGAGCTGCCATGTGTTCCCATGCTTGGTGGGAGGGAATATCGAATTGTTTGTCATGTCTGTCTGACCAGTTCAAGGAGAGAACAGCATAAATAAGTCTCAGAAGACAGTCGTAGGAATAGCATCGTACTTTTTTACTTCTGTTTGTAATCATCAACACGACTCTACATGACTTGATCACAAACATCTTCTTTACTCGTTCTCTAATGATGATCTCTGGCTTCGATTCCATATTCTGCATATCTATTAACTGTATGCCATCTTGATGACCAAGCAGTAAAAACCGATCTTCTAAGACAGAACTGCAATCATAAGGCGATGCCTGGTAGTTGATAGTAGACAATACCATTTTCAGCTGAAGTGAAGATAAGTCGATGGACGTCTATTATCATGGATTAGAAGATAAGTAGTTTTCACTGTGAGTTCTCTCACCTTATTGATATCGAGTATGCCATCGAGTGTCAGCTGACTGGGCGGTCTGTTATTGTTAACAGAATAAGGGGGTGGAAGTGAAGAAGATTCATCATTAGAATTCGTTTGGCTCATAGAGTAAGTAGCAAGTCCAGCTTGATTGAATTAAATAGAAAAGAGAGAGAGAGAGAGAGAGATGTAAGGGGGGATAACGAGAGCAAGATATAAAAATAGATATTTCCTAATCCTTATTATATACTCAGGCAATTTTGCGCACTCAAGCATTGCACAATCCAATACAATCCCCCATGTTGCAAAACTCAATATGGCGTGCTATATTATGACTAGACACAAGATTCTGTAGTGATAAATCAAGATATAATGAGTGGTGATCATTGTATCATTATTATCCATAATATGTGCGCAGTTACTTAAACGATGAATTGGGCTAAGAATTGTACTCAGGGGCAAAAGAATATCGACAGACTGGGTTTATACCTCCCATCACTACTATCATTCTCAGCCCTTTTTATTGGTCATATCCATCTATAGTAAACTGAGTAACTGATTATGGGATAATGAAATTTGCACTGGAATTATCAGATCGAATGTGTAATATGTAAACTGAGATAATCTCCCCTTTTTCTTTTTGTTATAGATTTTTTATTTATAATATGGTGGCATCTCATCTCATTGCCATCGACTAGGTCTAGACTGTCTTGGTGGAGGTGGTTTATTTACTGTATGCAATTCACCTGCACTAGCCTTCTGGAAATGAATCATACCTCCACCACCTCCGCTTGGCAAATTAAGTGACCCAAGTCCGGGATTTCTTGTGCCCACTGGCTCCATATTGGAGTTGAAGGCTTTTCTATCTATGGAGAAGAGTGATTGTGTAAATATCAGCTTAATCGATTCACTATTCACTTCCTTACCTCTACCCCGACCTCTACCTCTTTCACCACGGCCTCGGCCACGACCTCTACCACCTCTGTTCCTTGATTTACTGAATCGTGGGTTCTTCATGGCCAAATTCATTAATTCAGGAGACACTGCTTGACCAGATGTCTCCAGATGTCTCACCAACTCACCAGCAAATCTATCCTCCGTTGGTGTAAGCAGTGTAAACGCGTTACCTTTCTCACCTGCTCTTCCTGTTCTTCCCACTCGATGTGTATGGGAATCGATATCATGAGCAGAATCATAATTGATAACAGTCTTCACTGCTTTAATATCTAATCCTCTTGCTGCTACATCTGTTGCTACCAATATCTTCACCTTATTTGATTTGAAGTCTCTTATCACTTTGTCTCTTTCATATTGCTGTAAATCTCCATGCAATGCAACACCTTATTCAGATGATTAGATCATCTCTCTGTCTACTCCATTTTCTACTTACATTCAAAATTAGCACTCTGAAGATTGGATGCAAGCAAATCAACAGCATCCTTTCTTCCTACGAATATAATGACACTTCCCTCTATAGACTAATCAGTAATTCATGCATTCATACTCTGACGTTTTACTACTTACCAGAAGAGAATGCGGCCAGTCTTCGAATCAGCCATTCCCATTTCAATGATTCGTCGTCTACTATTTCTACTATTTGTGTGATATCCTCATTTGCCTGCCCTGTTGTTCCCACATTGATACGAATAGGATCATGAGTGACATTACGTGCCAACATCTCTATACGCTTCTGGAATGTTGCACTGAAGAGCAATGCTTTTTTGTTTGATAACATAAGGTGATGGCATGGATCAAATATAAGAAATAGGGAGTGGATGATGGGAAGAGAGTAATTGATCAGATAGATCATGTAAGCAATCTTCACGGTGCGGTGTATTAGTAAACTATATTAACATACTTTGTCTGTCAGGTCGAACATTATCACAGATAGATCTAACTTGGGGTTCTATTATACAATTCAGTCGAATGCCCTAACCAACTATGTGATGTTTTAAACCTACCAAATCCTAGATCGAACATACGATCTGCTTCATCCAGCACTAGGTAACTCACTCGTTGCAAATTAGTGGCCTTCATCTTAATCATATCAATCAATCGACCAGGAGTGGCCACCAGTATTTCAACAGTGCCACTACGTAAATCCTTGAACTGCTCCAACTTGGATGCACCACCATAAACAGCAGCTACCCTACATAGGATACAGAAATGTCAGTTGCCCCGAATTCGCCTCCCTATTCAACTTACTTTAATCCATAGGCTTTTGCAAACTTCCTTGATTCCTGGTATATCTGTACTGCCAATTCACGTGTAGGTGCTAGTATCAACCCGATCGGTCCATCTCCTCTAACCAACTCTTCCTGATCCATGATATGGATGAGCATGGGCAGGACAAATGCTGCTGTTTTACCCGACCCTGTCTTTGCAATACCAATAATATCTCTTCCTTCCAATGCCACAGGTATTGCCTGTTTCTGAATAGCAGAGGGTGTTGTATACCCTGCTTTAATGATTGCACTCATCAAGTCCTCATCAAATCCAAAATGTGCAAATGAAATGCATGGCTTTGCAATATCATGACCAGTGACATGCATTCCCATTTCCTCTCGTATCTGCTTCACACGAGTGTCATCTAATGCAGCAATATCTGGGTGTTCTTCATAGAAGTTCTTCTCGATAGGAATATATTCTATGGAATCATGATCTACTCTGGTCAATGGTTCAATCTCTTTCTTTACTGGTGCTTTATCACCCTCATCAGAATCATATTGATCCATGGCTGCTGCTGTAGCATAGACTTCATCATCTGAATTGGCATTCTATTGTGATAGACATCTTAAGTTTCTTTTAAAGCATATCTGCTAATAACTATCCACTTACTTCATCTTTCTCTACTAGGGGTTGACTGCTCGTTCCTACTGCAATACCCTTCTCCTTCATATGACGAACATAGCTCTCTAATTCATCTTCATCCTCAATATCATCCCTGCGTACCTGTATCTTTCATCATTAATACGACTACCTCTGTATGTTGAGGGTGTCTGATTCACCTTGGGTTCTGCTTTACTAGCCTTTGCCTTCTCACTCATATCAGCCATAAATGCATCCAAAGGATCCTCGTCTTCTTCAGTTTTCCCTGCAGGTGTATTTACAGGCGACACATCCTTTTTGGCTATATTTACTCTAAGTTCACACAAACAACCACCCTAAGTATGTCTTTTACCTATTCCTGCACTGGCAAAGAAGTCTTCTTCGTCGTCCTTGAACGCATTCAGACGAACCTTCTTCATTGATTCCCCAGTGCTTGAAGTGGCCTTCCTCTTGGCATCTTCAGTTGATTCTTTCTTTGTTGGGAATCCAAAATTGAACTTTTTGTTTCCACCTGGACCTGGTCGTTGAAACATGAGCAAACAATAATAAGAAGAGTTTGGGGATGAGGGGGTTTTCTTTTTCATATTATTATTATTATTTTTTTTTATTGTGTAAGTATTCCATATCGGAAGAATATATGCCCGCGTCCGGTGGAGAGTGTCTTAAACATGAGGAATCATGTTCTTCTCTATTAAAGTGGCCAAGAATATGGGCAATACGTCTCCTTCTGTGTATCTTTCAAAATAAACGTACTTTTATGGATAAACAAGCGAGTAAAACAAAAATAAACAAAGTAATTGTTAGTCTGTGTTTTATTTTACTTTTTCACAGTCATCTGAGAGTGATATGACGGAGTGGTCTAACGTGCTAGGTTTAGGCCCTAGTTTCCTCGGAAGCGCGAGTTCGAATCTCGCTATCACTACTCTTTTGATTTTTTTTCCTTGGCTGTTTATGTAATCAACTCTTCCTATTCATCATAAGAAAGACAACAGACTTTTCTTTTTAATATATAAGATGCATGAATAAAAAGAAAACGTATACATGTTGAATAAGATTTGTTTTATTTCAGTGTCAATGAGATAAACCACTTAAAGAGTGATCATGAATTCTAAGTCTATCGACGGTATGCCTGTAGATGGGATAGATCCATTGGAATAGCTAGTATAGAGTGTAAATAATCAGTTGATTTTAATTTCAATATGGATTCACTTACAACAGCCAGTTTCTGCCCCACTTGGATATCTCCTCAGCTTCTTCTCAAAGGGTGGTGGTGGAGGAAACTCCTTTTGTGAGTGAAATGTCCATTTGCCTGCTTCAGTCTGAGGTGGTTCTGGTATGTCAATATCCAGAGTATGATAAGAGGACTGTACGGGTATAGTGGACATACGATGAAGAGGAGATTGCATATGTGGAGACATACTCTGTTGGGAATGCATACTCTGTTGACTGCTCTGATTACGAAGAGGTGGTGGTGGAGGAGCAGGAATCACTCGTCTGTCTAATATGGGTCTCATGGGTGGTGGAGGTGGGGCTCTGCCTCTGGGTGGACTAGGATAAGACATTTTTTTAAGGGAGTAGAAAAGAGGAAAGTGAACTTACACTTGGACTCAATTATTATATTCAAGTGCCACCCATTAATTGATTGCTGTCATGATATATATATATATATATATATACGAGCATCTATGGCACTATGTATAGAACTGGATTAGAATAGACAATGTTCATCAGTACTACAGGTGACACTGTATTCAATAGTCAACATGACAATGAAGTAAACAATAGATAGGAGTAATGATTCTATTCTGATATCACAAGTCTATCCTACTTGGAATTCTAGGGTATCTGTTTTGCCTGTAATTACTACCATGGATGATCCTCCCTCTTGTCCAATGAACTCTTTTTTTTTACACACTGGAAAGAAGCATAGAAATAATGGATGGGGACATCACGTGAGAGATGGGGTTGTGGAGAACAAATAGTCGGATTTCTCTTTCCCTTCGAGTTCTTTTAAAGCCCACAATTAAAGGTGTGCAGTAGGATCATCCATTTTTTCCTTTTCTCTCCCCCACTCCCACTCTCATTTATATTGAGTTCACATAAACATATTCCTTTCCGATTGATTCACACAGCCTATCCCCCTACCCTCCTTTTTCTTCCGTTTATACTCTTTTATATATACATTAGTTACCATGGTGATCTATTTACTCTATTTACTCTATTTTGCAATAACAGTGACAGTAGCCATCTCATTGTTACTTTATACTTACCAATGCGACTTACTTTATGCATCAGGATTCCCAACTGGTTCGAGAACTGTTGTAATGTTCTTATATAAGCAAGAAAAAGAAGACATTTATTCTTGATTTGAGTTCTATATTAAATTTTTTATTTTCGAATAGGTTGCAAAACCATCCCAATTTGGATTACCTGATAAAGAAGTTATACTTGTTACTGAGGATGGATACAAAATAAGAGCTTATGTGATGATACAACGGGGTGAAGATGTAGCAGTACAATCGCCTACAGTGGTTTGTTTCCATGTAAGTAGAGAAAGGGATGTTTATTTGCAAAGAGAAGTGAGATTAATTGCATCCCCTCCGCCCCCCCCTTTTTTTTTTGATAGGCACACACAGGGAATATGGTAAAATATTGGATGGGGTTGAAGATTTACTTTAATTGGCCATAATAATAACAAGGGATTGTCATGTATTCACTTTCTGTTAATAGGGACATCGACTGCCAATAGCACAGGTATTCTTCAAGAAGTTAGGATATAATGTAGTGATGCTATCTTATAGAGGGTAAAAATAGATAAGAATGATGATGATGCTTATATGCTGACACCACACTTTATAGTTATGGTTTAAGTGAAGGTAAGCCGACCGAGAAAGGACTGAAGATCGATGCACAGGTAAACATTTTCAACCTTTTTTTCTTTGGGGCAAATCACTGATTGAATTTATAGACTGTATTGGAATACATCAAACAACACCCTATTCTCAAACACACCAAGTTAATAGCCTATGGACAATCATTGGGAGGATCAGTGGCCATCAGTCTGGTATCAAGGAATGAGGATAAATTCGATGCTCTGATTATCGAAAACACCTTCCTGAGTGTGGTAAAATAGTTAGTTAAACATCATGACCTAAACTTTAGTTATTTATATTTTTATTAAGCCATTATTAGTTCCCCATATATTTCCTGCTTTAAGACATCTTGTGTATTTAGTGCATCAAACATGGAGATCGTACAAGACAATTCAATATGTGCAGCATGTTCCAATCTTATTTCTGTCCAGCCTAAAAGATGAATTAGTTCCGCCCGGACACATGGCCAAATTATATAAGATATCTCAGACAAGTGGAGTGAAAGCATGGAAGGATTTCGAGAATGGAACACACAATGATACCTGTATGCAGGTAAATGGGTATAGATAAGAGTAGAGATAGATGGGATGACTGATACCTGTTTATAGAGTGGTTATTTTGAGTCTATTGGTGAATTTGTACGTGATAATGTATGGGATCTAGATTGAGCTTCTTGTTTCCCATACCAATTCACACGGCAGAAGAAGATGATTACATATACAACAAAGCATTACACCAACCACATAAATAATAAGAGATCAAAGTAAACAAATCACAGTTTATTCCTTCTTTCTAGATGTAAATTCCTTCTTTTCCTATCTCTCTCTCTCTCTCTCTTCTCATTCTCTTTTTATACGTTGCATTAGTTTCCTTTTATATTCTATATTACTTTTCATTTATTTATACATACACACACACACACACACACACACACACATTACATTACCCCCATCACAGAAGATCCACCTCTAGGCTGTAACACATAAATAATTTCTTTTATTTCTTCTGTTTGTTTATCTTGAAGGTATGACAACCGTAGTTGGGGAATAGGAACAAACTTCCCCACCCATATATATATATATATATGTACAAACTCGGATCGGAGAATTCGAGTTCCGGTAACAACCATTGTCATGGAAACAACAATTTATGTTTGGAATCAAAATAAGATTGTGAGACCCTCTTAGTTATGGGGCCAACCCTATGAAAGAAAATCACGCTATTCTATCCAACTAGGATGGTGAAATAACAATGAATAAAAAAGAAGTGTTCATCTATTTCATCCGGTAAAGATCAGCCTAGCCTGTTTCATGAAATGGTTGTATGCAGATTGATATGGAGTGTCTTTTTTTTTTTTTTGACTCACTCGAGCACCTTGTAATCAGGTCATCCGGGAAATGTCGGTAAGATGTACTACGTGATATAGGATCATTCTTTATTTACATGAAAACAACAACAGGGAATGAACATGACCTTGGGTTATTGTGATGTACTCTGTCCATCAATAGACTGTGATATTACTAGGCTCATGGAATCAATGTATCACTGTAATATGAGATATGCATAAATAACAGTTACAAGGGTGATTCCACACAGTTGACATGGATAAGTGTAACTCGTATTTCAGTTTAATGCCAATAATAGGTAAGTTTTTATTGTGATACAAAGGACTGTGGGTCCATTATATAGATGTATGAAAAGACAGAGGGAGAGCTAAATTACAAAAGATAGAAAGGGTGAAAAGAGGGATGAAATTATTTACGTTTAAGATGACACCAGACACCTAATCCACCAGCAATTGCACCTATGACCAAGGGAAGAATGGCAGCAGGGGCAATTACTTTACTGACACAGCAAGCGTTTGACTTGTGTTTGACATCATGAATAGTAGCAGGGTTACAATAGTACTTGGCAAAATAGTCATTTTGAATCCATAATAACTTATTAAATGCCAATAAAGCCTTGGACTCGGTTTCACGGTCAAGGTTGAGAGACAATAATCCACCTGCTAAAGTAGATTCAACAAACCCCATCAATGCATTGATATGAATATAATCCACGTTGATCTTGGACTTCTTCTCGGGAGTATCGAGATGGATTTTGGCTACCCAGTCGAGATAACTGAGGAATTTGTCATCGTAAGGGCCAGAGAGGACCTTGTTGAGGTATTTACCCAGGAAGTTCTTACGGAACTTGATTTGAGGGTGATCCAATGTCAAGTCTTCTAAAGAAGTAGGTGCAGGGCCTTCGAATCCTTCGTTCTTGGGAACAAAGTGTTTCTTGGTAACATCGAACTCGAATAACTTGCTATATACAGCATCGACTACGGCAGGTACCAGAGGGCGGACTTGCTCAGCAACGGCTTCAATGGCCTTGATATCATCGGCACCTTCAGAGTAGAATGAATAACTTGTACTCTCCCATTATCATTCACACACTTACCAAAGTCCATGAATTTGGATACATATTCAAAGCGGTAGTGACCGTCTTCGTATAGCTTTTCAGAGTCAATGTGCTGCATTTTGCTTTGGTTTAATGTAAGGGTGGAGCAAAAGTGTAAAGAGGAAAAGAACAGAAAAGAACACGATGGATTCATATTTGTATATTCCCTCCCACCCCTACAAGCTGGGAAATTAAGTAACAAATTGTCACCTCATTTCCGTATATGGATTAACAAACAAGTTTTTATTATCTGTGTTTGAATGGACATGAACCCTAGGGGTATTATCTCTTGTAAACAGGCCTCTACAACCTATTTAATAGCTGTATGGTGAATACCACACTCACTTGAACCAATGATATATTCTGTATGGGTAATTGTCAATGTATTGGATAGTATAGAATAACTAAAAGTCATAGATTATTCTCAAGAAGCAGGAATAATGTCACACCTATTTGTCAAACCATCAATCATCCCAGGCAATTCCAATGAGAGGGTATAGAGCCCATTTTAGACACGTAAATGAATACCAAATAACCCTTCTGGCCTTGATCATCCAATGGGATGGTAAATGAATTTTCGGTTTCAGGGAGGAAAGGAAAACTTTTT